AAGTAAATTATAAAGAAATTTTAATGAAAATATGTATAAGATCTTTAAAATTGTTTATAAAAATAATATATTAAGTATGTATATTAATAAAATATATGTATATAATTCATCGGTTCGGTTCAGTTATTTCTTCGGGTTTTTTCGAATAAAACCATAACCAAACCAAATACTATCGATTTTCAAAAATCTAAAACCAAACCAAACCAAACCCAAATAAAATCGGTTTTATTTTATCGGTTTGGTTTGGTTTTTCGGTTTGGATCGGTTTTTATCCAAACCGTGAACACCCCTACAGTTGCGTGTATATAATTAATGTGTTGGTTGTGCAATGGAGAATGAGATGGTTGGTGGAAGAGGTAATATGTTATTCGTCTTTTATATGAATATCCAGATGAACTATATCTCAATGACTTTAAGACTATTCAAAATTTAAATAAGTTCGACATATTCTTAGATGGACAAAGCAAAAATTGAATGTACAAAAAAGGCGAAATAGTTCCAAGTGCAACATCAAATGAGATAAAAAGAACTTAGAAGCTGATGTCGACTCATTCCAATCTTTAAGAAATCAAATTCTCTCCCATTCTATGTTGCATTTGAATCATTATGTCTCATCAACTAATTTGGTAGATTTAAAAGCTTATTATTTATATTATAAGGAATTAAGGATAATGGAATTTATATATTAAAACATATTCCAAATCAAAGTTAGATGAACCATTTGGCTTCTTAATATATTCAAATTTTGCCTCCCCAATCTATGGTTATTGTGTGGTTGACCGACCAAAACACGTCCAAAAGTTAATTACTTTTCTCCTAATCCCAATTTGCCCACTAATTTATTGTTACCAATAAACCCATTACTTTCTCACTATTTTTATCGGGGAATTTTCGCAAATAGCCACTATAATAAATTTAATTATACTCCATAGCTATAGTTTGCATACTTATAGGTTGTAGCTACAATTTAAGCTGTCTCATTTGTATAATTCGTGGGCACGTTTGTATAACTGAGTTAGTTTTGTATGTACTCGAAATAACGAATTTATTATACAAACACAAGCATCTGAACTTTAAACAGTTATACAAATTATTTTATTACAAAATTACATTATACAAAAGTTATACAAATTTTGAATTATACAAACTCAAAACCTTAGCCCACATAGTTATCACTGAATGTTGGTCGCGAGTGGTAATTATCTAAAATTATAGTTATGATGACTAATTAACTAGTAGTATATGTTTACTTAACCATGTAATTTCCCCTTTTATTGTGCCTTTAACAATCAAATGACTAATTGGACTTCATGACCATTCATTTATAATGAAAAGACACATGGAACTCTCACAATCAATCATTTATAAAAAGTTTATTTTTGTAACCGATTACTTGTCGAAAGTCTTGTTGAATTTCTTAGACTTATCCCCCTCTAAAGGTATTTTAGTGATAGATTATATAGAAACTAGACGATAACAAATATAAACACAACCAATAATGCGTGCCAAAGACATTTATGAAGCATAGGCTCAATTCAAAGATTAAGGAAAAAAAAATCCAAACGTCTCATTTATTAATCCACATGAACCTCAATCACAAAATTTACAAATAATAACATCAAAGTATCAACAACATACCAAGTTCTGGGAGGGTCAAGGTGTATGCAGACATTATCCCTACATACCAAGTTCTAGGAGGGTCAAGGTGTATGCAAACGTTATCTCTACCTCGTTAAGTTTCCGAAAGACCCCCAACTTAAATGCAACAAATCGAAGTAATGAAAAAGAAAATTTGGTGTCGAGAAATAAAAATGTCTACCTTCCATGTTCTCAAACCACAAAATGGGTGGATTACAAGCTTGTATTTGGTCCCAAGAGGATTGAAACAAATTAAATTCATATCCTATTGCTACCAGTCAAAATTGTTTTATTTTTCCCCATTATGACGTTTCTATTTCTGTGTAAATGTAAATACAAGAACATCATAATTTACAAATTACAAAATCACTGCACGTTGATTTGCCAATTCTCAAAAGTTTTCAATCTTGTTGCAGCACTGTTATGTAGAATGGATGGCCTTGACATGTTCCGGATGAAGTTCTCGATTTATCGCGTTGATCGCTCTGGGATGAGAAACTCCAGTGCAATGAGTAGTTTGATAGATCAAATGTGCCGGGTGAGAATACACAAATTTCCATAGGAGTTTCCATGGAAGATAACGGCTCGAGTGTAAAATGAGTAGAACTAGAACCTGACCAAATGAAAGGCGGAACTGTATCAGACGACATTGGCTTCACTACTCGAGTTCCTGGGGTATCAGGTGTGATTTTAATGTCATTCGACAGTGACAAATCGTGCCAGCCTACTTCATTTCCAGAAGCTGCAGATGTAGTTCCTGATGAGCTGATGTTGACTGCAGAATCAGAGGGGTTACAGCGAATGGACACAACATCATCGGAGGAATTGTGGACTATCATCTTTAGTGTAATCGCATAGAAAGGTTCCTTAAAATCATGTTTTACAGTTCGGGGGCCATCTATTATCCACCATATCGGGCTACTCGTCCTGACACTGAAAATGAAACAAACAAGATTGTATACATTAAAAGCAAAACATGTGTATGTATACTTAGGTTAATAATTCTCATGACAGAATCCTTGCCTGCGGTGACAAATGTGATGGGAGAAAACATTTGCGCGTTCATTCTCCTCACTTTGTGATCTGGATACCAATATAAAGTCAACCGTGTCCTCATGCTCCTGATCAATTCAAATAAAAAGGAACTTTTGAGTATAGCAGCAAGGCATAAGGGACTGTACACATTTTTTTTTGAGACAGTAACAACTAACAAGCCTCTCTACCTCCATGAGGTAGGGGTAAGGTTTGCGTACACTTTACCCTCCCCAAACCCCGCATATGAGATTACACTAGGTATGTTGTATATTTATTTCGTGAAACCGCTCTGAATCACTGAGCAATCAAAAATATCTATCATTACAACTAAACTATACATTGATACACCTACTATTGTTTATAGTTCAACTATAACTACAAGCACAAGAACCTCACAAGTCATATTCATTAACAGTATTGATCACATTATGACACTTGAATACTTCCCCTAATTAATGAGAAATATAGCAGAGTAATAAATGAACCTGATCCGATATTCTCTGATGCACTCTTTCATAATGGTGAAATTCAGACAAGGGAGAGCTGTATAGATCAAAGAGCATTTCACTTCCGCTGAGCAAGTTGACATCTGCCTTCTCCGAAGGGCAAAGAGAAGAAGCACCGTCTTGATCAGTTACCGACCTACAATTCTGATTTTCCAAAAGGAATTCCATTATATAAAACCAAAGCAACTATTTGATAGGTTAATTTTTTAAAAATATATCCTTGAATTGTAATATCAGAGAGGGAATATATCTAGAAAGCTGAAGTTGAACTGTGTCAAATTAGTAAACAGAACAAGGAAACACTCCATTTCTAACCTTGAGCTTGAGAAACCATGAAATTGCTTGACCAGCAAGTAGAAAATCTGAAGGGAGGACCTTAGTTGGTTCGAGCAATGATATCTCCCATTCATTTCCAACAGATGACAATTGGTGAACCTGAAAACCTTTTGAGCTAGACCTATTGACAACATCCATTCGGACAAGGAACTCCCGCAGTCTAGATGGACGAGGGCTGATTTGGAAAGACACATCCAAAGATGGTAGCACCTATAAAGTGAATATTGCAGATACTTGTAAGAGATTTTTTTTTTGGAAAAGCAGCTCGCTCACTTTTGATCAATACACACACCAGCTCAGGGGATAAAGAAACTGTAAAACTAATAGCACTTGCTCAGATTCATGAGACTGTTCTCAACTGGAGACATTACAACAAATCTACACATATCTAGCAAATAGCAGGAACCAACCTCTATATTGAAGTGTACGCGTAAGGTACGATATGTCATCACACTTGATATGTCTCCCATCTCATAGTATACTGATAAATATAAAGATATTTTCCCAGGAGCTGCAGCCCTAAGCCAGAGAGGCCATGAGATTGGAGTTCCATCTGCAATTGATGTGTCCTAGAAAAAGAAACACAGAAAAGATAAAGGGGTCTGATCCTCGCTTAAAATGTAGATGGTTAACATCTTTAGCCTACACTGACCTCGGGAAATGGAAAAATGCCATCTGATACTTTATCAGTCTTTGACCTCAAAGAACTTTGTCTTGAACTTTTTCTTTCCAAGCAAGCAGGAAGCTGAACTTCCAGATCTTCCTTGTGTCCAATTTGGAGAAACCTTGGCGGATGGACCTTCATCTTCAACTTCTGCCAGGACATTACAGCTATCATCATAAGAACTAGAAATTTTTCTAACAAACAATGCTCCAAATTGATATTATTAAAACAACCGTATATACTAGTTCATCTTCATGCAATGCATGTATCCATTTCGAACACACAGGTGTCTCTCAGTTCATATGTATCGATGTAATCTCAATTTATAATTTTATATGTATCTAAATACCTCGATGTAGATTATGAGTAAATTTGGTGAATCATACACTGTAACCTATTTGCTTGTACAGTGCAGATTCTTATTAAAACAAAAGAGGTTCATAACCTAGAAATATTAGGTGGTGACAATAGCAATTGAAGCTATGCAGCTTGGTGAGTTAACTAGTAACTCCAAGACTAGGCTCAAAACATAAATATATACTCTTAAATTTATCTCTTTAATGAATATATGTTGTGGGTTAGTCAGTTCAGTGGGTACCAGCTAAGTACAAGATGGTTATACCCAAAAAGAAAAGGTGATGGAATTGAATGAAATGCTTTTCCCAAGATTTTCTCTTCAGTTTCCTACTTCTTTAGCTGTAAACACAGACATTCTCTTGAAACAAGAGAACTTCGGTCTTACATTTCCAAACTTTGTTCTCAGCCTTGATTATAGTTTCGTTCATCCTGTAGTTGGGAATTACTGCTCCACTTAGAATATCCTCCTGACTAATGACTTTTCTTGCCCATGAAGTAGGGCAGGTCTGAAAACTGCCTTTCGAACACAGCCTATTTTCAATCAATGCAACAGCAGCAATTGTGCCTATTATATCAGCTGAGATAAGATAATCCCAATTGAAGTACTGTCTACAGCTTTATTAGGTGATATTTGATGATTCTTAGGGGAAAATAAGAACTAGGCATGTTTGTCATTCTGATGTTCAAACATGAGGAAATGTTTTACATGCTGTAAAAGAACCATGTTTTTTTCTATAAAGTACAAAAGAAGAAACATACTTTAACTGGAATTTTAGATGGATTTTTCAACTCCAGAGAGATACACCGCAAATCACCAACATAAACTGTTTCCGGGAGGTGATAAATGAAGCCCTCAAGTTTTGGTAAACTCTGCATATAGTCAGTCAAGTCATATAGATATGTACTGTGACCATCCAAGTACAAAATGCTAAAACATCTTAAACTGTCTATATCACAAGTAATAAATATGTGGACATGGAAGGAAGAAATCACCTTTATAACTAAGAACTTCAGGTTATCAAATGTAGATCGTTTAGATTTCCTGTTTCCTTTCATAACTTTCTTTCTGACTAAGTCGGAATCAAAAGTACAAAATCCTCCCAATGACCCTGACAGCTTCCACCTTATACCAACTATCTTGAGAGTACCTTCTGCTCTTGGAGTAACCGTTAGCTGTACCTGAAAGTTGAAACAGTAATATTATAATTAAGACAACAGAGGTAAACTACAACCATGGAACATCAGAATCACAAAGATACTGAAAGCAAGAAATGCACATAAGATGCTGGGACAACGACACTGGTATTGCACCCAAAAGTGTGGCCTAGTGGTCAATGAAGTAGACCTGGTTTCAAATCTCAGCAAAGACAACAAACACTAGATGAATTTTTCTTATTTACATATATCTTGGTGGCAATTACTACTTCATTGACCTCTCTACCTCCCCAACCCTAGACCCCACTTGTGGGATTACACTACACTGGGTATGTTGTTGTTGTTGTTATGTATCTTGGTGACCAAAGTCACCCAATACTTGTGCTAGTGGGATGTGATAATAACCAGGTGAATCAGTCCAGATGCACATAAGTTAATGTGTGAACCCCAAACCAAGTTAGGTATGCTGGAAGGTGTGTATAAAGATCTTGGGTTACTCCACTAATTGCCTTAAGGTTTTGAAATGATTACTCGGATTCTCGCACACATGTCATGGATCAAATGGCTAGTTTTTCAATCGTAGGTGTATTCTGATTATACCATTATGTACAGAAGAAAAACCTAAAGTTCCCAGTTCGTACAGCATCACAAAACAGACATATAAAACTACCGGACACAGACAAAGAGAGAGTTAAGAAAGAGGCAATCACCATACAACAAATTACTGATTACTTACAAGAGAAATAGGTAAACAGAACTGGTAGTTTAATGCTAGAATGAAAAGGAAGTGATCTGTTTTTATCATATGCCTCGTCTGTTTGACCAGCAAACAACATAGAGCAAGGGCAAGGGGAAAGTCTAGCTTATGATTTAAGAAATGAAATTGTTATGGATAAGTTTTGGTGGTAGAAATCACAACAGTCTTTAAAGTGAAGATGCACTGATGCAGCACTAGAGGATGATGCTTTCCATCTCAGTTGCTTGAATTTGGCTGAGGCCTCAAATTTATAAGCTCCAGTCTTTCATAAATAATCTTTGTTGCTAGACGGTGGATTCTTATAGCATAATTCGCTAAAAATTGTCATACACTAGAAACAAAAGATTATGCCATCTTTTCCTAGAACAGCTTCAGCACCCCTCCCAAGTAGAACAGGGAGAACAAGAAAAGCGTAAATGAAATCTACAAGCAGCCAGATAGACATGTTCAAATTACTTGTCAAAAAACTCACCAATACTGTTTCACCTTCTCCCAAGGCAACATCAGCCTCCGATAATGTAAATGAAGATGTATCAGAAGCAAAATTCCTAAAGCATCAAAAAAATGTGCAGCATCATAAGCATGTGGAAAGGGGATTAAAATTTTATCTGAAAAACATAACCAAGCTGGAAAGTCAAACTCTGGAAGTTTCAATACACTTACCCACTAGTGGCTGATTTGTTTGATGTCTCACCATTTTGCTCACCAATTGAATTATTTTCATCTACATCATTCACAATAGAACTTGCTATGATTCTAATATTGCAATAGTTGTATTAAGGGAGAAAATATTTGTGAGGAAACAAACTGAAAAGCTTATCAACTTCATTATCAAGTGAAAATGAACGAAAAATAAGTACTCCGCTCATCCCAAAACTCTTAAATATATATGCTTTCTGAGGAACAATTTGACCATTTTTTGCAAATATTTGCACAAAATATCTGGATATCTGAGAGCTAAATGAAAACTATTTCTTCTTAAAATGAAGTTGTTAAAAGTGCAGTCAAAGTTTAACCAAATAATCTCTAAAATGCAAAGGGTGAGAACTTTGGGCCAGACAGGGATTAGAAAGAGACGGCATTTTTGTCTTTTCAACAAGTAGAAAGAAGATGACATTAAACAGGCTATTGTACTTACTCGGTTCAGATACTGCTGAAGAATGTTCACAAATTAGGGTAACACCAGATATTGAAATAGGTATTTGAAGTGGATTTTTGAATTCAATGGTTATCCCAATAGCCTCTGCAAAAAATGAAGCAAGAATAACTCGGATATTTTAGGAAATTAACAAGGTAATGTAGAAAAAAAAAATCACTATACTGATGGAAGATTTTGAATAGAAGATAAGCACTACAAAGAATACACAGCTCTCTCGGAAAATTATTTCTCTTAATCTTTTCAAATCAGTGATATTCTTGAGTCTAAACTTGTTTAAAAAAGAAAGAGAGAAAACACTTTTAGCCTAATGTCTAGCTTATCAACTACAAAGAGTGTTCATTTTCATTGTGCTCGAGTAAAACACTAATGTATAAAAGGTTAGAATTCTTTATTACTAAACTCCTGTAAAAGACCTAGCTTTCTAATGTGAGAAAGTTTAGGCAATCTTTTTAGTTGATGGTGAGCGGGTGAAAACCATCTTGTACAAGTTTGTGGTAAGCGTATTAAAACCATAAGTTGGTGGTGAATGTGCTAAAACCATATGTTAGTGTTGTGGGATAAGAGGATTTGAAGTGGGTAATCCCTGGGAATGCAGCATCTGCTATATGTAGATGTTACATTATTTTTTTGTGGAGTAGAAAAACCCCAAGTCCTCTATCACAACCTTACCCTTCTAATATTTGAGGCCTTACCAGGATTACTCATCTATATGCTTATATCCTATCAATTATGTCCCTATTCTGAGGGAGCTAGCTGATATTTTATGCTGCAGTATTGGTTCTCTACCCACATCTATCAGGGTCTTCCTTTAGGTACCAAGTTCAAGTTTACTGAAGTCTGGAGTGGTGTTACTGAAAAAATTGTGAAGAGACTGGCATCTTGGAAGATCCAGTGATGTTCCAAAACAGTGCTTTCTCTATCATTGGATAACTTTTGATTTAAACTTACTACTCCTTGTTGTCACTCCAACTGGAGATACACTGCTGTTTCTAGTAATCCTTTATCGTGTGTCTACTTGTCTAGCGTTCCTTGGATGCATTGCAGCATTTCTTTTAATGACACAACAAACTCAATCATGGTTTAACTAAAGCTCATCAGCGAAAGACAGGAGTATAAATTTATCAACAGTGAAATAGGATCGGTCACTTACCTCCAGCAACACAAATGTTTGATTCTTTAAACTTCTTTGGCAACATTTTAGATTGCAGTTCCAGCCAATTACTCTTACTTGACATTGTTGGAATCATGTCTTCCTCTAATGATCGCCACAGACTTTCTTTGACATGAATCTGATGTTCCAAAAAGAAAAAAACAACAAAGATTGTATCAGAAGTTTTAAATACATAAGAAACAATAAATATAAACAAAGGCATAAAAATCCAATGAATTCAATTACTCTATTTTGCCACAGCAGTAGCAGAATGCTTCGGTTGACAGAAAGGATGAAAAAGAGGAAGGAACAACAAATGTTTAAACACTACATTTTATTTTAAATGATATAATATGTCCATTGACTTCAGTTAACCTTGTATGACACACCAATAACAGACAACAGCCTGGGTGGAGTGGAAAATATAAGAACAAGGAAAGAAACAGGGGAAAAGAAGACCAGTGAAGTATGAATCTGAATCATGGATTTGAATTTATGGTGTTGAGCATTACAGGTTGAAGAATTTAGTTGATTTTCAAGACTAAGTAGTTACAGTCTATTACTTTAATGAGATCCTGCTTTGTTAGCCCAGTCTTACCGGCAAAATGTTTTGAGTGTATTTTCTCACAGTTACCAGAATGCAAGAAGATGAGGATGAACACATAATCCAGAGGAAACAAAAGGCAACAGTAATGAAAGAGACCATTGAATAGGAAGACTACGCAGGTATTATTAAGTAGCACCTAGAATTTGCATCATGCACTGCCTAACAGAAACAGATAATTTAAACCGGATGACAGACAGAGTAACACGTCAGAAGGCCTTGGGCATTTAATAGATTCCAGAAAACCAAAAAAGAACGGAAAGAGAAGAAGACGACAAACAAATAGAAAAAAGTAAAAGATTTAGGAAGTACTAATTAGCTTACAGCTGCTTGGGATGCATAGGTACGATGATCCTCGTACACCACTTTGACTGAAGGGATGTTGATTACTGGTAATTGAAGCTTTGGAACCTCATATGTTTTGCCTGTTTGCTTCATAATATTACAAATAAAAGAGTAAACAAGGACACTATATATTTCAGATCAAGAACAATAATGATTAAAAATATGCAACCTGACTAGATGAGAGAAAAAAACAAAGCAGTATGTTAAGAACTCTTGCAAAGCAACACATGCATCTTCAATGCACTTGTCATTGATCCATAAAAATTAAAACCAAAACAGTAACGGCTATTACAAACAAAGATTAAGTGAAACCAAAATCAAGATCATTCCATGGATCTAATTAAGAGAACTATTCTACATGCCAAGTTTTTTCTTTTTCAGTTAGGATATTTATATGAATAATCAAAACCATAGGTCAAGGAAATTGTTTCTGGCAATGCTGAAGCTAATACATATCAGCACACCAAATTATCTTTAGCAATTACCATAAAGACAACAGTGGGCTAAATTGAACTGCTCAGTTTAAATTTAGAAGCATCGCAACCTGCGAACAGGGCATTCTTTCTGTCTTCTGATCTATTGAATACTAAAAGTCACTAACACCTCACTTCTATTGGATGGTAATATAAATTTCATAAATCTATTTGCAGTTTCTGATTATTCAAAAGATTGGGGTTGGAAATTGAATCTCATCAAGGAAAATTAGCAACCGGTAGACTAGTAGATCCAGAATTTCCATGATATTTTCAACTTCAATTTTTTATTTTTTCACCCCTACCCTCGACCCCCCACCCCCCAAAAAAAATTTAAGTTTGTTTTTAAAAAATATTTTCAATTTCAAAAATTATTTTCTACTCTAGTAAAAATAAAAGATATTTCTCAAAAACATTTTTCATTCAAAAATCAAACACTAAAAAAATTTTCCGGAAAATATTTTCTACTCACCAACCAAACATGGAAAATATTTTCCTTCATACCAAACACACCCCTAATGATCTTTACCATGATATATAGCCAGTTTGACTGTACAGAATAATATTTATCAAGATATACAGCCAGTTTGACTGTACAGAATAATATTTATCAAGAAATGAACAGACCACATAATTTTGAAGTTGATGATCTTTCCAGGAACCAACCGGGGGGGAACTCACGGGTAAGACACAGGATGTAAGAGACAGGAGGATATCAGGAACCAAAACTATGCTTACCTGAATTATCTGAAGGAAATCCTTTAGGAATAACTCCTGTGTGGTCTTAGATTGATGACCACAAGCTAGAACCTCCAACATATTTTTGATAGCAACATCAAAGATCCCCAAGAAACCATACCACCTGAATAAATGACAACCTTATTATGTTACTCCCTAATTCTCGAATAATATCTTAACTAGCTTTTATGATTATAACAAGAAGCAGCGGAGGGAGGGAATCTTTCGCTAGATTAGTACAAGGATATGGCATAACCAATGCAATAAGAAAGTTAAGACGAAGGACAAAAATAAGAAGCTGTGGGAGCAATGGTGTCAACTGCCTTTTCCGAGAAGTTTTGTCTGTAGACAGGACTAATATGATCCAAGTACAATTCTGAAAAAAAACAAGGAGGTTCAACTCAGGTTTGTGCAGTTTTTATCAGTTTGACTAGGAAAGGTGGACCATGCCTGAACGCATAGTTTGCTAGAAGAAATGGTGGGGAACAGTCTCAGCTTGTATATGGTGGAACATATGGAATGAAAGAATCTTTGAAGGCAGGTTCAACTCCATTCAAAAAATCAAATGGAATTGTACCAGTTCTCTATGTTTTGGTGTAAAGAGCAATGTATAGATGATGAAGTACAGATAATGGACTTTCAAAGACTTCTGTAATTGCTTTCACTCTGTAGATCACTTTTTGGAGATTGCCAGCATAGCCCTAAATGCTGAGGAATACAAGTTACTAGTTTCAAAAAAACAACAAGGAGGTTGTTTATAACTTACTTTCCTATGTGGAAATGAACATGGTCTCTAATGTGCCTCCATGTAGTTCCCTTGAAAACAGAAAGAGCACCTTTGTATGTTCGAATTGCATGCTTTATCTGATAATGGAGACGGAATAAATAGTTATAGTCTAGATCACAGCATTTAAGAACCTATATGCATGATTGGGTGAGAACAAATACCTGATCACATTTTTTATACAGGTCCCCGGAAAGAACAAGATGAAACCCGTACTTGCGCAACATGGGGGGAGTGGAAAACAAGTAACAGTATGATGCTTGCTCGAGCATTACTGCTGAATGGAGGAGTTCCTAAAGAATAAACCTCTTCAGAACAGGAAATAAGGATTGTCATCCACCAAGATATCTAAATTGGGCATTACCTCACCAGAGATACGGAAGTATACACTGGCAGCCTCCTTATACTGATCTCTGGCCTTCAACATTTCTACCCACCAAAGACCACAACGTGTAGCATTTCTCTGACCCGATGATCCAATTTTCTGCAAAAAAGATAATGTTTTAATCCATCTATCAAAACCATAAAAAACCTTAGATCGTATTTATACTACATCTAAGGCCAATAATAATAATTAAAATAAAAATAATAACAAAAAACACTTAAACCGAGAATATCATCACATAAATAAACTAAAAAGTATGCAATACAACAACGTATTTGATCCATCAGTTTCTAGGTCACATAAAAAGTTTAACATGCAGATCTTAAGAGAAACAGGTTTCTAAACAATTGTCAGAGTGACTACTACCATCTTTTTCTTGATTTATCTAAGTATATTAAAAATTGTGAAGCACATTCTCTTCCCCTTTTTCTCTTTTTCAATGGTTGCTGGTGAAGAAATTAAAAAGACAACTGCAATAAAATTGACAGACTAGAGTAAAGTTCAAATAACTGACATAGAAGAGGGATGCGTACATACTAAATATGTAGTAAATGCATTCTCCATGCAATATTCACCATCCTTTCTCGACTGATCCAAAATGAAGTAGGTCAGCCCCATCATTTCCTGCAATATGAGTTGATAGTGTAGGTGAGAACACATTGAAAGATTATAAAACCAGGCAAAGCATTAAGCAGAAGTTCATCATTCATGTCCCTTCTATAACTCCAGTTGGTTACAGCTGTATGCATATTCACTCCATATGCATCAAAAACAAAGAAAGAAGTCAACAAGTAATTAATGTTCTAACTACTTCTCATGGATGTTGGATCTCCCCTCCTCGGAAGAGTATCTGATGGAAAATGCAGTATTTGGATCAATAGTAAGACACACCCAAATAGAAACCCAAGATACTCCAATCTCTCCCCACCAATAATATACTCTAGCTCTAGTTCAATGTATTTAACACTCCAGTTCTCTCAAAATGTTTGATATACCTTCACATTAACCTATAAGTAGGTCTTATCCCAAAATAAATTGGATATGCAACTACATTCATGAACGATTGCATGTAAAATAATAGGTAAATAAAAAATAGCTAATATTTTTAGCTCAATAGGTTTAACCGCACCAAATATGACAATCACAATAATTTCCTTTTTTTTCCTCCCAAAAAGAAGATAGCCGCATGGCAGAGATGTCTGACTGGTTCATATAGTAAGAAGATTTGCTTTATTAGCACAAACTAAGGGCCAACTTTGTTATTCGAGCAGCAACTTTGTTTTCCAAATTAAACTCAGAATTGTTAAATGTTTTGTTTTCTAGAAAACCAAAAACACTGGAAGGCTGTTTCCAAAAACAATTCTTCCAACACACAATCCATCAATTCTTCAAAACCAAATACAAACACACATCCTCAGGGATCAAAATCAAAATAAAACCAACCGAAACCAAAAAAATAATAATCTGAATCCAAATGGCAAACTCATGCTGAGAAAAGGTATATTGAATCTCAAATTTTTTGTTTTAAAGCCACTAATAGAAAAATACATAATGGAGAAAAACTTCTCATGTCTCAATGTAAAAAGTAAAAAAGGGAAGTACATTATTCAGAGATTATTCATAAATCTCAAAGTAAGATAGTGAAGGAGACCATTTACAATTTGTGAGGTGCATTACCAGTAATTTACAATGCATTACCACTAGCTGACTAGCATGTATCAATTAAATAAAACAAAAAACAAGGTGCTGTGGCTGCCTGATGCACCCAGAGGATATGAAGACACGGTGTCCAATGAGCTCATCTGCTAGCACTTACTATTTTCCCAATCTCAATCTATTTCATGAAATTATGCAATAAAGACACAAAATGTTTCATATTTTCAGAGACATGTGTTTATGATTTAAGAATGTCATTCGCCAATTGAATAACTCTTTAGACCAAATAGACATAAGAACTTACAAAACTCATAATTGAGCAAAATACACAAAAAGAACCAGGTTTCACTGGACACTCATTGTTTTGCTCATCTAACTACATGAACCAGCAACTGCACCTTGGGAACCCAAGTTAAGCAGATTCTATATTAAGTGAAGAAAATCATACCAGAGACATGCATTATCCAGAAATTTAGCTTACAACAAGTACTCTGCTAGTAACAATGGAAATCCAATACATAATGTCAAGAACTACCTGAACACCAGCATGGTGTTTCCAAGCTTTGTCGAGCTTGTAGTCGGTAGAAAGTAGACGATAGTTAGACAATGCAAGCTCATAATCATGTAACATGAAGGCATAATCACCCAAAACTCTTATTTGTGATTCAATGGAGCTGAAAGTATACCTTGAAAAGCAATCACAAAGTCTCATTAGTCATTTAAAGAAAAATGAAACCACAACCATGTCACAAACTAGACAAGAGATGAGCTTGCAGAATTACGTTGGACCAGCTGGGTTTTCTGGTGCATCTTCTTTACCCTTTCTCCACCACAAGTTTTTTATTTGGTTTCTAAAACCTTTCCTTGTTGCAGAAACCTGAAATTAAGCACTAAGTAAGAAAAACCCGATAGAAGTAACATGCATGTTATCATCAACTTCCAAGATTTAAAAAATAAAATAAAATTCCAAAAACCAGGGTCAGGGTTGAGGGGTAGATACCTGCTGGTTAAGCAGACGGATTTTTTGCTCCATATGAGGAATAATATGTTTAGACGATAGATCTTGTACAAATTTTTTCAGCTGCTCAATTCAACACACATGTAAATAATTACTTATATCAAGGAGAAAGATGTTGATGACCAGCTATCCTAGGAAAGTACCTCTAAGTTCAGGCCATACAAGGTTCAGGAACAAATACCTCATCCAAGTCATCTGAGCTAAGGAAGCAACGTAGCTGCTGGCCATGTGAAATATCAGTTTTCTGTAAGACACAAGATTTTTTTTTTTCTTTAATTCATCTAATAAACAAAGATAACAAAGGCAATAGATATGATGTGAAACAAATAAGCTTCGGAAGGTTCTCTTACATAAGCAGACCATAGGTTTTCATGCTCTTCTGAGCCATCCTTAGAGGAGTTAATACACAGCAAATGGCAACAATTAGCCCCAAAAGTGCTCCTCATCTCTGCCAAGGTTTTGGTTGCTCTGTAGAAAATACAGAGCACCATTAGCAGCCACATCATGCAAAATTGAGCTCATCTTTTTGTAACCAAAAAACCACCACAGTAAGACTAAACCATAAGTCTAGAAACAGATTTAATAGTTTGAAATGCAGTGGGGAAAAGGACTATAATGAAAGGTCTACGTAAGTGTGAACATAATAACATGCTACTCCTCTTCAGTTGTGTGCCCCTTTTTATAGCTATGTTCGGCATATTCATCCCAAGACTTAAATGTGAAATCCTTGATGACACTGCATCAACATGACTTTGTGCGGCTTTGGGACTTGTTAAGTAATGAATTATATGTTGTGATTGAGCTTTGACAAGGCTCCTTGTTGTGTTTGAAGGTTATTCAAGTAAGGAGATACCACTTAGAAGATCTAGGAAAAGAAACGAATGACAAGAGATGAGATCAGAGCGTCGGAGAAGCAAGAAACAAGGAAGAGAAATGACCTATCGGCAGTGCCTAGGCTCCATCTAAGCACCACTGAGCTACTGAAAAGCAAAAAAAGAAAACCGGTTCGTTCTTAGTACTGCAGAGTAAGAAGTTTTGCTTCCAAAGTTGAGAGAGGAATGTTCTTTCCTCCATGACTCCATTTGGACACTAGAGCTCCGAGGAAGGTTGTCTTTTTGTTGGTTAGTGGCTAGGGATGCAATCTTAACAGCGGAGAATCTAAGAAAGAGGAGGATTACCTATGCCAGTTGGTGCTTTATGTGTAAGTGTGAAGGCGAAATTGTCGATCATCTTCTTTTGCATTGTAAGGTGTCTAGTCAGTTATGGAGGGTGGCCCTTAATTGGTTTGGGAGGCAATGGGTGATGCCGGGTACAGCAAAGGAAGTTTGCAAAGTTGGACTCTTAAAATGGGAAAGAGAAGCTTGAGGCACAGTGTGTTGCCCCATTAGCAATCAAGTCGGTCATTTGGAAAAAGAGGAACAGGAGGGCCGTTGAAGTAGCAGCTAGATTTTTGTAAAACTGCAAAGCAGTGTTTTGTCTCTAGTTTCGTTTTGGTGTACTTATGAGGCCCCCATTTGTATAGAGAATTGGATCTTTTTTTGTGAGAACGATATTTTGATGTAGGTTCTCTCCTTTTGGTATATGACTTGCATACAGAGTTTCCCTCAGTTGTTAATAAAACTACTTACCTTGTTAAAAAAAGGTTCGCCAAGCGCTTAACTCCACAACCAGAGCCTGGTTCTGGCCAGCAGGCATTATGTTGTGGCTGTTGGACAATGCCTGGGTGGTTCAACAACAGCGTCTAGGCATCTGCACTTTCTAGGTTTACAAATAGCCCTTCCATACCTTATATGTTAATAAGGAAAAAAGGAGCTCCTAGAAGGGTTTGGAAACATGGTTTTTTGGAAAGGAACAGAAGGCAAGGGAAAGGAGAAAGATGACATCTCCAACAGAGTTTCTTCTACTTTGTCTGAAGTCTTTCATTAGAAATGAGATTTAATGGATATCCTTTTGACGCTTTCACGTTCTGTCATCAACTACTTTACTTATTCCAGGATTATGATGGAAGTCAACACATAGTTTACTTTATCTGCATTCTTGCTAGCATCCAAGGTGGCTATCATGGACTTTGGAGCATTCTTCCAACCATCAAAAGCTTGGACTACTTGAAAGGAGGTTGGAAAGAAGATTCAAGTTCCATAAGAAGCTTAAATGGTTTTGTGGAGAACAACTTTGGAGAACGGCATCCTAGTCATTTTGTTGTTTTACCGTGAAACTAGCAATCCCAGGATTATACCACAGTGAGTGTGGCATAGAAATAACACCAAAATGTGGTATAGACAATCCCTTACGTAACAGTTACAGGCGACAAAGAAAAATTTCAACTAAAATGGCTGCATGTATATGTAATAGATCAATATTGTATAAATAGTTTATAATCGTTTATAACTACGTATCAGAGATGTACATACATCCATATACACTGTTTATACAAAGTTTATATATTGCAACAGTTCATCCTCCTCAACGAGCTGATATTTTTCAATCCCAACCAACTCAAATCTTCTCTAAATAGGCCTAAATTTTAGATATGAGTTCCTATCAATCTAGCTGCAAAAGTAAAATTAATGCAAAATGTTCCTAGCTATCAGTGTTCAAACTTTTAGATGGAATTAAAACATTTCTAGTTTCTCCTCTACCACTAAATGAAATTGTATGGATGGATGAGACTGATGAAGAGATATTCAGTACTGGAGAAAAAATTTCACATTTTTCTCTTCACTAGGCAGGGGCACGTGGAGTGGCAAAACTTTGAAAGAGTCATACATGCCCGCCTGCACTTCGCCGGCAGTAAAATGAGTCGAATAGACATTTTAGGTAATAAATTATGATTGGGTTGTTTTGGGTAAGGAATTTTAACTCAATGGACATTTTGTCTAATTTTCCCTAAAATAATCCTATATTTTATCCCAGGATTATTATTATTTATTCGTGTAACCAAACGGTCTCTTAGTTCATTTGTTTATGTTGGTGATGAATATTGAGACTCTTTGTGAACTTGGGGAAGTTCCATTGTATTTCTTCAATTGAACTTAGATTATTCAAAGGTAAGAATTTCATGTATGAGTTCAATTTCTCTTTCTACCTTGTTCCTTATCTTCAAATGAATGCCAATAATTCTTTTTATAATCGAGAAATTTTGGAAGGGCCAACGGCACTATTCAGAACTCGATGGATAATGAGTCTGTGACTCTACCCTTCTCCACTTAAATACCATACTTTTAATTGTTGCATGGTTTAAACCCATGACGGGTGCCTATCTACACATTACATGTTGTGCTCTTACACACTAGCCCAAGGCCTTGGGAGCATTTAAGTGACAAAATAACTAAACGACAGAAATGTGAGACTATAAATGTGTTGAATGACACTGATTATATTTTTACTGAAGTACTTCAACTTCCACTCCTCATGGATTTGTGATTGTGATGTTAACAATTTCAATGTTATAATCACTGTGTTCGATTACACCGTGGAAAATTTCAGAAGGAAAGAGCATCAAACCTTTCTAATGGAACTTCCACACCATCGTGTACCAATACAAAATGCTTTAGCATTTTTGGATCCATTGAACCATCATTAAGTAGGGAAGGCAACTGATTGATGTTGAATAGGTCAACAAATTTGTTGATAGGATCTTCATCCCGTGAAGAAACAGCCAAAAGACCTATATTATGATCACCACAGACATAGGAGCATTGTATGCCAGAAACAGAAATTCAGTTAAGTAAGATGGAACCTCATTTCTTAAAAAGGAAAAGAGAAGTGAAAACCGGGGAGTACAGGGGGAAAGTGACTCAAAAAGTGTAAGAAAAAAAAGGTAGCTTACATGTCACAGGATGGTCAAAAGCTTCATGTTCTGAAAAAGAGACCGTACGTACCAGCTCTTTGTTGAAATATTGGAACCATGACGGTAGGAACTCGTTTTGAGAAGCTTCATTGCACATCATAAGGGAATTAGTCCAACACAATCACACACTTCCAGACAGAAAACTATTTTGTAGCTCCAAACTAGAAAGTAATTAAATGGTTATGGGACTACAAATAAAGCCAAAAACTAACTACACCAGGAGCAAAACAAGCAAGTTATTAATCTAGCAGTTCACAGTGGAATGTGAATTGCAATTTTGCTAGTCCTAAGTTTATAAGTTGATACACTTGCGTTAATTATAACTTTGGAGATTAAATATCCTTCTTTTTTACTTCATAAAAAAAAAATCCTTCCTTTTTAGGATTAAAAAGAATTTAACAAATTTAATGTAACTGCATAAAACATACAGTTGAGCACACTCTCAATTTGCAGAGGTTCTGAACATAAGTTAGAAAGATCTTTCTCTCCAGCATCAGTGATAACTTGGTTTAACCGCTCCTTTGCAACCTAGACAAGAAAACATGTCAATTTTAAGGCAATAAGCATAATACAGGAAAAAGATACCATCATTCAGTTCTCAGGTCATAGAAACCAACAAATAGACCATAAACTGAATATTTTAATGGTTCTGACCTCCAGCAGAAACAGATTTTGGAAGGAATAGGCCAATTTGACAAGAAAGTAAATGAAGGGGGAATTTAAACCAATATTTTGTGTGTATCACTAGTTCCTCCACAAAGGCAGATGATTAAATGAAAAGCTGCACTTTTTTCACAAAGATTAAAGCCTGGTGTTTGGCAACCATGTACTAGACAATGAAACACTATATTTTAGAACTTTTTCCATATTCCATTGGAAACTAAGAACTTTCTAACGGGTCATTTGAGAGGGTGTATAAGAATAATGCTAAATAGAGTGTATTAGTAATGCTTGCATTAATTATGCTTCTTGTGCATTGTTTGATTTGGTGTATTAAAAATAGCAAGCATTGCATAATTACAAAACTAACTTTACAATTGGCTTTTAAACTCCACAAGGCTATCTACTTCCCCCACTAAATTTTGCTTACACCAAAAATACAAAAGACTAAGGCATTTCATCTTGATCTCCTCTAGGCTGCTAACCTTTCCTTCAAAACATCTCCCATTCCTTTCCTTCCATAGTGTCCACCATATGCAAGCAGGGATATTTTTCCACCAATCTTCTTTTGATCCTCTCTTTCCGATTCCTTGCCAGTGTGTTAGGACCTCAAAAGTGGTTCTGGGCATTGTCCAGTTAACCCTGAGTATACAAACGAACATGTTCCACAGATCTGTAGCTATCTTGCAATGCAAAAACAAATGACCATTTACTTCAGCCTTCTGTCCGCACATGTAGCACTTTGAACAGATCTGTATACCTCTTCTTTGTAGCACTTCATGGGTGAGACAAGCTCTTCTAATTACCAACCAAGTGAAACATGCAACTTTTAAAGGAACCTTAATTTTCCAGATTAATTTCCAAGGCCAAACTGTTGTCAGGAGATGATTGGTATTCCTCTCCCAATAGCATGATTTAACTGTAAAAACCCCTCTGCTATGCAGTCTCCAAACTGGTTTGTCCGGCTCTGTGACAGTGCCTGGAAACAAGTTTAAAGCATGCAGTAGGTCTGCTACTCTTCCAACCTCCCAATCATTTAGAGCCCTTCTGAACATAAGGTCCCAACCTTGAGGGGTCCACATTTGCGCTATAGTGTCATTCTGCTGTAGACTGATAATGTACAGATCGGGAAAAAGTATCCTCAGATTTACGTCACCTAACCAGGTCTCGTTCCAGAAACTGGTCTTCAAACCATTCCCCACTCTGAAGGTCACCTTTGCACTGAAATCAGGCCACATTCTCCTGATGGTTTTCCATACAGAGCACCCAAAAGTGCCATTCACCTCTTCAGTTATCCAATTACTCTGTAGGCCATATTTCTCAGCTATGAACCTCCTCCATAATGCTGTATCCTCGCAACAGAATCTCCACAACCATTTTTGCAGCAAACTAGTGTTCTGAATACTTAAGTTCTTAATGCCCAGACCTCCTTGTGCTTTGCTCATTATCACCTCTTCCCATTTAACCAGGTTGTATCCTTGTTTCTCTTTGTTCCCTTGCCAAAGGAACACCCTTCTCAACTTGTTGAGTTTCTTTCCAATACTTTTTGGTAGTGGAAAAAGACTTAGCATATATGTTGGGAGGGCATCCAGAACTGATTTTATGAGAGTCACTCTACCTCCCAGAGATAAATATTGACTCTTCCACCTTGTCAGCTTCCTTTCACTTCTCTCCAAGACTTCACTCCATACTTCCAATTCTTTGTTCTTGGCTCCCAAGGGCATCCCCAAGTATTTGGTGGGAAGCAAGGCCACTTGGCAGCCCAGGTTGTCGGCTAGGCCTCGCATATTATTGACTTGATTAACAGGGAACATGCAACTCTTCTGCCAGTTCACATGTAGACCTGAAGTGGCTTCAAATATGGTTAGTATTGCCCTCAGATGCCTAATTTGTGACACTTCTGCACCACAGAACACAAGAGAGTCGTCTGCATACAGTAGATGTGTGATCTCCGTGTTATTAGCTCTGTTAGTATATGCACCAAAGCCTCTTATCCACCCCAATTCATTAGCCTTTCTAACCATGTAGTTGAGTCCCTCCATTGCTAGAAGGAATAAGAAAGGGGACATGGGATCTCCTTGTCTCAGTCCCCTTTGTGATTGAAAGAAACCTTCTGGACTCCCATTTATAATGATTGAAAACTTCACTGTTGACACACAAAACTTAATCCAATTCACCCATTTCCTCCCAAACCCCATGTCACTCAGAACTTTAAATAGGTAGTTCCAGTTCACATGGTCATATGCCTTCTCTATGTCCAGTTTGCATAGAATACCTGGCACCTTTTGCTTCACCCTGGAATGCACCAACTCATTAGCCAATAAAGAAGCATCCGTTATCTGTCTATCCTTCAAGAAGGCCATTTGATGCTCGTTAATCAGTCTCCCCATAACTGTTTTCATTCTTTCAGTGATCAACTTAGCGATGATTTTGTACATTCCACCAATCAGACTTATTGGCCTAAAATCCTTGAGTTCCTCTTTTAAATATTTTTTTAAAAATATTTATTTACAATTGATTTTTTAAGAAGGGTTTAGAGGGGCAATTGGGTCTTTAACCATGCTAATGGATGCATTAGATCCATTGCATTACTAATATCATGGATTTCCATGTATTAGTAATACACAATAAAGTGTATAACTAAGGCTTGAAAAGTGTACCAAACAAGGTACTACTAACACACAAAGCTAATGCATGCTTTATTTTTTCTAATACACTATACCAAACGACCCCTAAAAGATGTAGATCTTGGAATGCACATACACAAATGTTGAGGCCTAGGTTCTGGAAACACCATCCACATACCTCACTTGTGGGATTACACTAGGTATGTTGGTGTTGTGTTGTTGTAGGTTCCGGATTTGAAAGTATATTTTTAAATGATGGAATTGATGGTTGCCATGTTCAACATTTTCCTTGCAAAGTATGCACGTATTATGTAATTGGAAGCCTCTCTTTTGTAAATTATCCGGTGTGAGACATTTGTCATTTGCCACAATCCAGATGTAGCATTTGACGATATAAGGGGCCTCGGTATACAATGCCAAAAGATTGGGGAGGAAGAAGAAAAAAAGCGAGAGAAACTCTTACCAAAAAAAATCTCCACTAGAAAGTGGAGGTATACTGATAAATGGATGTAACATCTACATGTACTCTTCAAGTTCCAAATATTGAGATTTCTTCTCAATGATATGGACCATCCTTTATCCTGCCTAATGTCCACAATTTGTTGAAGTATTGGTGTTATTATATTACTAGTAAAATTATCCGCGCTTCGCGTGGGAATTTAATATCACGGAATTTATAAAATAATATTTAAAGCCTATAAGTCATTAAAACAAAAACACAATATTATCTTACATACAAGATTACGTAGTAACAAAAATTAATAATGTAAAGGAAAATGAAAATTATTACATCTTATCATTTATTCTTAATAACATAAGCATAAATTAATGACGGTAAGAATACATACCAGGATTTGTAACATAAGCAATGGTGTCAGTGAGCCACTCAACATGAGCAAAGTACACAAATATTTAATTGTGAAAAAGAAGAAGAAGAGGTTCAAAATTTCCATTGTATTAAAATGAGAAGAAATCTCTCTATTTATAGACATCAACGGGTAGTGTGAACAAATGTTTACTGTGCCTTATCGGAAAGGTTACAACTATTTGAAAAAGTTGCAACCCTTCGGAAAGATCACAACATTTCATAAAAGTCACAATTTTTCATAAAAGTCACAACTCTTCATTAAAGTTGCAAAAAGTTGCAACTTTTCATAAAAGTTACAACTTTTCATAAAAGTCGCAACTCTTCATAGAAGTCACAACTCTTCATATAAGTCACAACTCTTCATAAAAGTCACAACTGTTCATTAAAGTCGCAACTCTTCATAAAAGTCGCAACTTTTCATGAAAAGGGAAGGCTAGTTTTGGAAATAAATAAATTAAAAGGAAATTTTGATTTGTGGTAGCGCCACGTAGGCGGCGGGCATAAGGTTCTCTTTTATATATATATATATGATTATTGTTAAGAAAGTGAACCCTAAGTCGAACTCAACATCAAAAAGTAGCTCATGAAGTGAGAATTGTTCAAAATAATAAGGGGTCGTTTGGTAGAGTGTATTAGTAATGCTTGTATTAATTATACATAGATAATTTTTAGCACTGTTTGGTTTGGTGTATTAAAAATTGCATGCATTGCATAAAAATATTAATTTACGAAATATCCTCCACAATTATAGTGGAATAGATGTAAAAAGGGTTTTGAAGGGTAATTGGGTCTTTAATCATGCTAATGCATGCATTAAATCCCTTGCATTACTAATACTTAGAAATTCATGGTATTAGTAATGCACCCTTTAATACACAATAGAGTGTATAACTAGTGCTTGCATTAGTTATACATAGGTTGAAAAAGTATACCAAACAAGGTATAACTAATACATAGAATTAATACATGCATTATTTAGCTTAATACACTCTACCAAACGACCTCTAAAAGGATAATAGTTCATTGTCTCAATCAACAGCAACATACCAGTATAATCCCACAAGGTGGGACCTGGGGAGGGTAATCCCACAAGGTACGCAGAGATGGTTACAATGCAGGAAGAGATGGTTATTTGTTTCCCCCGTCAAGTTGCACAGAAAACACCTAGGGACCAGCTGCCTGCCTTTCTTCTGTAGAACTTCTCCTGTTAAACATGCTCTCTTTATCACTAACCAGGTGAAACACTTTACTTATGTAGGAATGTTACTCTTCCAAAAGTAATTCCAATTATATTTTGGGCCCCCTGTCATCCCTTGTAGTCCTCTTTTGTATATTTATGGTCATGTTAGGGATGTTCATACATAGAGTCACAATAGATCTCTTGGTTATGATTTCACAAATCTTCACTTTATCGGGTCAAAACTTGGTTTCAAAGATTCAACTTTCAAGAGTCTTTCTTGTGTTAATATAAGGTCCTCAAAACGTATCAAGACGGAAGTTGTTCTCTTAGTCATCGTGTTGCCTCTAAAGTACAATATTCTGTTCCAATGGGTTATAACAACTGTCTTTGCAGAATGTGCGGTGAATGAGTTTTAACTAATTATGTTATATTGGTCCCAAAAGATTTTGGTCCTCATGTCGTCATACCCTTCTCTTCCGTCTTCGGCTCAACTCCTTTTTTCTTTTAGTCAAGAAATCCATCTGGGGCCACCCCATTGAACCCTCAGGACCAACTGCAACCAACGAAACTCGAGAATAGTTTTCTCTCTCCTCTACCCTTCTCCACTTAAATAGTAGGTTTAGTTTGTGTGGCGCAGGGCTCACACATATGACTAGGTTACAAGTTACACAACTTTTGCCACTTGAACTAAGCCATGGGGTTTAGAGTTGCTTTCTCACCTCCGTTTCTCTACTATAGCTTCTTCAACAACTTGCTACCTTCACTATGCACAACAAACAATCACCCCTAACCCCTTTCATTTCCTCGTCTCTAACAATTTTGAGTTTTTTTTTTTATGACAAGGGAAACCCACAGCCGCTACCCTTTGGGTGCGCACAGGGTAAAATTCTTGCTCCTATGCAATAGCTCGCAAACCACATAGGAGAGGTAACCCGCACTAGGCAAGCCCAGTGCGACGAGCTCGATCCAGAAGGCAAAACCCCTTACATTCGCTAGCAAGGGGTTTCGAACTTGAGACCTCCAACATGGAAGTCCCAAGCCCAAACCTAATAATAATAAAATGTATTATGTACCTCTTCTCAGTTTAACCTTCAAAATTCACGAGGACCAATTTGATTAGTGCACCCCAATCCTATACCTTTTTCTTGTTACCAAATGTACAAACATAGAGAAAGGTGGTTTATATTTTGGATGAAGCCTGATCTCATCAAGTTTTACTGGGTTGTGGTGAAAGTCACTCTTTTTGTTCTCCCATTAGTAATTACATCTAAAACCTCCTGTGATTTTGTGTACCAGGCTACCTCACAAATTTCCGAATCAAAGCAAATTATTACATAAAGAATTCTCTGCAATTACTTTGTTATTTAGTAGCTGCTGTTTGAAGCACTGCGGTAATTTAGTTTCACGAAAACAAAGCGTTCAGCACCAGTGCAATCATTACAAGCAAGCAAATCATAAAATACACTTCTGTTGCTAATATACTGCAACTTTATCTTCCAAAAATAAAAACTGATAATTTAATGACCTTCAACTGAAGTATGTACTTGTCCGTCAAGTATTTCAGCTAAAAAAAAGTACCTCGATATTGGGCTGCCGTATATCTGAAGCATAAAACAACCGCAATTTGAACTTCTTCAGTCTGTAAGGCTGATCACTAGCAGTTCGAACTGGCACTGCATTTCCAATAAAGTAAAACACTTCACAAAAAGTTCCACACACAAAAAAAAAAAGAAAGTATTTTACACTAAATTTGTATTGAAATGGAGTTGACCGTCGATATTATTGAAATTGCAGAAAGGAGAAAGCATTTGGATGAAGGAGATTTGATTCTTCTGAGAAGATTCTTCAACAAGAGGAGTACGGAGGACCATAACCACAGGAGTGATCTCATCCAATAGCATTCGGCCAAGTGTTGAGTTCGCCGGATCCATTATCGCCGGTGACTGAGATTGAACTGACTCGTCGTAACTCGTGACTCGTCGCCGGTGCCGGCTCGCTTGATCTCACCGGCGATTATGCTCAGATCCAGAGTTGTGTATAAGGAAGAGAAAATTGAAGTGATGAGAATTATGGGCTACTTGGCCCAAACCAAACTAAATGGGTGTAATGCTTTTTAGTCCAATTTTTATTTTCACTTCTTAAAAAAATTAGAATAATAATGTCAAGATAAAATATTTATGATTTGTTAAAAAAAATTATTTGTGTATAAATAATTTTGATATTATTTTGTGTCATGTTTTGTGTGAAATGACAATTTTATAAATATTTTTTTTTAAATTGATCTTATGTGACATCTATATCCTTCAACTTTGGTGCGTGCACAAGTAAAACACGTGTCTTACTTGACGTCCTACATGACAATTCATATCATACGCGACATCCTACGTGTATTGCGTCATGCAGGACATGTGTATTTACTTGTTCAATTTTATATAAGTTTAAGTAGTATTTATTTTTACACACCCAAAGTTGAAGAACTAAATGTCGATTGAGCCAAAGTTAAAGAAAATATTTATCATTATGCCTATGATTTTCGAATAACTTATTCACAAGCTAAAAAGGCTTAACGTATTCTTTAACTTAGACTTAGCTAACAATAACATTTATGTCATTTAACTTTGGATGTGTATAAATACAAATTTTAACTATCATAAAAATTGAATAAGTATATACACACGTCCTAAATAATAAATCTCACACCATTTAACAGACAAAATACGTATGTACCACCAAATTAAAGAATACGTTTATATATTTTCTCAACTAAATATCTTTCACTTAATTTCAATTTGACTTTCTTTCACTAAAATAATTTACGTTACCCCAATATTATAATTGAAGGAATTGATTTCCACCAAATTTTGACTTCAATGTAGACCAATGCCATTGACCATAATATTAACACTCTTTATCAAAATGAGTTGTCGTTGAGTGGTGGGATTGCCTTCGCTTTTAATTATAGTTTTCGAATTCAAACCGTGGGTATAGGGGAGATTCTATTGGGAGCGCCATCCTTGAATGAACGTGCAGTACGTCACAATCTCTGGATTTAATCGAAACTCCAATTCGGGCTTCGAATACCATGGAAAACAAAAAAAAAACTCTTTAAGAACCAATTAAAATTCCCCACTCGCAGTTGTCACACGCGCTCCCGCACTAATGTCAGTGCGCCTTCTAAACCACCCACACTCCTCCGCCCTTCTCCGTTTTCACTTCCGTAACTCTCTTCGTTCATCACTCCAAAGGAGTTACTCTTTTTCCCATTCCGCTATGGCTTATCGTCCGAACTACCGAGGCGGTCGGCGTGGAG